TATATTCTTCATCAACGTAACATGCACCCAGTGGCAGATGTTTCATAGCTAGGTTTTAATCTCCTTCATGTGCTCTGCTGGTTATTTCAGTAGAAACACCATTGTCAGCATTCTTTACATGAGAATTTCCTTCCTAAGCAGAAGTAATATTTTCCTCAATAAAAGAAACCTAACACCCACAGAACTCCCACAAAGGACACAACACAGTGCAAGCAAGGTGATGACCCCGGTTCTAACTCTCCATACAAGTCTCTTTCTTTCATATTCCACTAGATATGTCTTGAGTCATCTTAGAATAACAATATGCACTGATTCATTCAGAATACATTTCTGTGCCAAATATATAAAAACCTATCATGGTTAGAGCACAGCCTAAAGATTGGCATTGCCTATAATAGCAATTGTGTTCTACCAGTTTGTGTCACCAAGTTGGTGAGGGCTCCCTGAACTCTCCATTATCTTATAAGGCTACTGACTACCCCATATGCCTGAACCACCATTTGAAATCTCCTCTACCATTCCCTCCAGTCAGGACTTTATGACAAGAACACTTTTGAAGCTAATGCATGGGCATGGTCCAAACACTCTTCATTTGGTTTTCTCCCATAGGGGTGTTGTATCACAGCTCTCCCCACATCTCTGAAGCTTCAGATTGGACACACTATGTTTTGCATGATTTTTTTTGTTTGTTTTTAACCTGTGTGATGGCACTTATAACTATATTTGCAGGCTACCATCTTTCTATTCAGGCAAAACTGTGGACAAAACACTCTGGAGGTATCCGTGTTTGAACTGAGGACCTCTCAATCTGCAGTCAAATGTTCTGCCACTAAACCCCCTGGGTTTTTTTCTAACCTGTTTGATGCCAGTTATAAGTACATTCAAAGGCCCCCATTTTTCTTTTCGAGTACAACTGTAGACAAAATGCTCAAGGGGTACATGGATTTCAACCAGGTACCTCTCAATCTGCGGTTGAATGCTCTACCACAGAATTGTACTACCAGCACGTTCTGCTGGGTTTTTTTTAAACCTGTTTGATGGAATTTATAAGTACATTCGCAGGCTGTCATGGTTTCTTTCAGGCACAGCACTCAGGGGGCACCTGGATTTGACCTGAGGACCTCTTGATCTGCATTTGAATACTCTGTCACTGAGCTTTACACCCTCTTTGTTGCTCAGGTGGCACTCAGATTTGAACCGATGGCCTCTCGATCTGCAGTCAAATGTTTTATTTTGTTTTTTTAATGCAATTTATACCTAAATTTGAAGGTTACCATCATTCCTATCAAGTACAACTGTGGACAGAAAGCTCAGGGGGTGCTCAGATTTGTACGGAAGGCCTCTTCCACTAAAGTGTGCACCCTGCATTCTGCAGCACCTTTTTCCTTTTTTTGCAGTTTTTAACCTTTTTATTGCCAGCTAAAAGCACATTCACTGGCTGCCAGAGTTCCTTTAAAGCAGGATTTTGAACAAAATGTTCAGGGGGCACCCAGTTTTTGGCCAAGGAACGCTTGCTATGCAGATGAAATGATCTGCCACAGATCCCCATGCTTTTGGAAGATTTTTTTTAACCTATTTAATGGCATTTATAAATACATTCTCCAAGTTCTATAAGGTCAATCTGTCTGCCTCAGAAATTCTGGTTTTGCTTGAAATTGCTCTGAAGTTGCCATTTAATGCCCTTGGTTTTCTTTTTATCATTTTTTTTCTTGTTAAGCTGGTTAGTCTGTGGTTTGTTTGTTTTTTTTGTGTGCCTGTTTGGACTATTTGGATTTTTTTTCTGTCCCTAGGTTGCCAAATTGTGTTCCTCAATAGATGATGTAATAATTTCCTCATTTAAAGTTACCTTTAGGAACCAATTTCATATAAAGCACCCCCCTAGCGTAGGTTGCTATGCAAATTTTGAGAGCAGTGATTGCATGTTCTGGTCTGTTCAGGGTTTCACAGGCTAATTGCTTCCTCCTGCCCCTGGAAGAATCTTCAAGAGCATAGGGAGGGAGATTCAAGTGGCGAACCTAAATATTTATCATGGCAATAGTCAATTCCTGGAGAGGAGTGACCAGAAGGTAGCTGGGAAGGTGATAAGTAGTCTGAAGCCCTGGAGAGCTTGTTCTTTCTTTGACAGAGCTGGTGACTTTGTGCTTTTAGGATGTAAGTGTCAGAGGTACCTACAGGTATTAAGGTAATTAAAGGAACACTTAAATCAGAGTATAGCATCAAGTCAAGTAAACTCCTGGGATATTGATCTGGTCAGTTAAGTAGCAGAGAGGGTTGTTAATCAGTTTCAACTGCTTTGTAGTTAATAAAAATTAACAACAGGTGCACTAGATGGGCAACAATGAGATGACCCCCAAAACAGGAATAGTTTTACAGGTGGAGGCCACTGACATTTTTTTCCCTACTCACCTTTTCTGACTATGTTTCACTATTTTTGCATTTGGCTAGGGTCAGTGTCACTACTAGTAGCATGACCTTGACCCAACAGAGGTTGCACAGGCAGTCCAACACCTCCAGAATGACACATCAACACGTGCCATTGCCAGAAGGTTTGCTGTGTCTCCCAATACAGTCTCAAGAGCATGGAGGAGGCAGTTACTCTAGGAGAGCTGGACAGGGCCAATAAAGGTCATTAACTCATCAGCAGGACCAGTATCTGCTCCTTTGTGCAAGAAGGAACAGGATGAGCACTGCCAGAGCCCTACAAAATGACCTCCGGAAGGCCACTGGTGTGAATGTCTCTAACCAAACCAATCAGAAACAGACTTCATGAGGGTAACCTGAGGGCCCAAAATCCTCTAGTGGGCTCTGTGCTCACTGCCTGGCACCATAGAGCTTGATTGGCATTTGCCAGTGAACACCAGAATCAGCAGGTCCACCACTGGCGCCCTTTGCTTTTTACAGATGAGAGCAGGTTCACCCTGAGCACATGTGACAAATGTGAAAGGGTCTGGAGAACATTATGCTGTCTGTAACATCGTTTAACATGACCTTTTTGGTGGTGGGTCAGTGATGGTCTGAGGAGGCATATCCATGGAAGAATGCACAGACCTCTGCAGGGTAGACAATGGCACCCTAACTGCCATTAGGTATAGGGATGAAATCCTTGGACCCATTGTCAGACCCTACACTGGTGCAGTGGGTCCTGGGTTTCTCCTGGTGCACGACAATGCCCGGCCTCATGTGGTGAGAGTATGCAGGCAGTTTCTGGAGGATGAAGAAATTGATACCATTGAAAGGCCCCCACGCTCGCCTGACCTAGATCCAATAGAACTCCTCTGGGATATCATGTTTTGGTCCATTCGACGACGCCAGGTTGCACCTCAGACTGTCCAGGAGCTCAGTGATGCCCTGGTCCAGATCTGGGAGGAAATATGGAAATATCCTAGGAAACCATCCGTCATCTCATTAGGAGCATGCCCCGATGTTGTCAGGCATCCATACAAGCACGTGGGGGCCATACAAACTACTGAGGACCATTTTGAGCTGGTACAATGAAATTTCAGCAAAATGGACTGGCCTGCTGCATCATTTTCCACTTTGATTTTCAGGGTGTCTTTCAATTCAGTCCTCTGTATGTTGATAATTTTCATTTCCATCAAACGATGAGACATCCTTACATTTCTAACACATTACCCCATCCATATCAGTATAGAGATCCAGCAGGAGATTTTTCCCCATTGAGATCTGATGTGTTTTCAAAGTGTTCCTTTAATTTTTTTGAGCAGTATATATATATATATATATATATATATATATCTACATACACCAAAAATACATCCCCTAGACTGAGTTATTGGAGTTGGAGTGCATGGACTGGAGCTTGTGGTGGTAGGCAGCCTCTTTGCCATTATCAGAGAACCAGCTATTACCAGCTGCAGGGCAGACACAGAGCTGCCCGCTCTCCTCAATGGGTAGTTGGATGAAAAAAGACTGCCTGTCCATTTTCATCCAACCCAATCCAACAGACCGAAGGGGAATTGGATCCCCATCGTCCCTTTTTGGTGGATCGGATGGGATGTCGACGGATGTAAACAGACACATGTCCGTTAATACCTGCCGCTCCATAGAGGAGAATGGAGGTTCCAATCGGGTCTGCCTGCCGGACTTGATCCGAATGTCCATGTGAAAGAGCCCTTAGAGCTTAAAAAGGCCCCAAGAAAGTTTTGCAGGTATGCATGCATTCATTAGCTATCATTTTTAATTTCAAAGTGTTTGCATTAAAATAAAATAAAATAAATATAAGGAGTTTACAGATAATTCCTGTCCCGTCCTTACCCCTGTATTGTAGACATTTGAAGGAAGTACTGTAGATAATGCTCTTAAACGTACGGAGTGTAACATAGAAAAGAAAGGAGGGGAATTCAGAATGAGCTCATTTGTATCAGGCTGTTATTTCCTTGAAATTGGACACTATTTCTCATCAGTGGGTAACGTTTTGATTCAACCTACAAGGGTCTATACTACATATCTGTGTAGTTACATAGTTAGGTTGAAAAAAAAATAAAGAAACTAGTCCATCTACTTCAACCAATTAAAAAAATACACACACAAATAATAAAACCTCCATTTACATTAACATTAATGCATGCCTTTGTTAACCACTTGCCCTCATGAGGATTTACCCCCTTTCCTGACCAGGCCATTTTTTGCATTACGGCGCTGCGTTACTTTAACTGACAATTGCGTGGTCATGCAATACTGCACCCAAATGAAATTTATGTCCTTTTTTTCCCCACGAATTGAGCCTTCTTTGATCGCCAAAAAAGCGACAATTTTGAGAAAACAACATTTTTTTTACTTTTTGCTATTTAAAAAAATTTAAAAAATCAAATTTCGTCATAAATTTAGGCCAAAATGTATTCTGCAAAATGTCTTTGCTTAAAAAAATCCCAATATGTATAAATTAATTGGTTTACGTGAAAGTTATAGCATTTACAAATGGCGGTATAGATACTGGAATTTATTTATTTTTTCTGCTAGTAAGGGCGGCGATCAGCAACTTATAGCGGGACTGCGGTGGACATTCTGACACTGGGGGGAACTGACTTGGTGTCACTGACATCCCCAGTGACAACAATACAGTGATCAAAAAAAAAAAAGCACTGACACTGTACTAATGGCACTGGGCAGGAAGGGGTTAACATGAGGGGTGATCCAAGGATTAAATATGTGCAGGGAGTGTTTTACTAGGGGGCAGTGTGCTTGGTGCTTCACTATAAGCACACTGCGCTGGATGGCTGTGCTGAGCACAGCCATCCAGAGCAGTGTGCCCTAGCTGACTGTCAGAGCCTGGGATCGAACCTGGTCCTTCTGCAGTGGGAGGCAATGTTTCTTCTCACTGAGCTATCTGGAATGCTGAACAGCTCCCTTGACGATTCTTGGATAATCCTGCCTTGTGCCTTGATTTCTCTTGAACCTTGAACTCCTTGCTCCTCCCATGAACTTCCTTATAAAAGCCATGTCCATGCACTTCCTCCTTGCCAGATTATTGTGCCTTACCAGCCAATATCCCGCTTACTGTTCCTGCTGCTGTCTTCATCAACGTTACCTACCCTTGGCTTGCTACTGACTACGATTCTGCCTCATCCTATCTACTACCATTGGTGACCGTCCCTTGGCTTGTGACTGACTCCGCTTCTGTTTGATCCCTGAACTGTTTGATCCACTTTTGGTTTCCAGCCTACTCATTCCCTGGTGGGTGATCCTGAGATCTGCGACCTGGCATTCACACGCAGCCAAATCCATCTCCACCATTAGGAGCTCTGGAGAAGACCGGTGGATGCTTAGACCCCGCACCTCAGGTGAGCCTGCGTCATTCCCAGGGTGGGCCGCTGGTGTACCAATCCTGCTGGTTTCAGGTAAGCCTTACAACTACTGTAGCAACTGGTCTCTGAACCTGACCTTATATCGTGACACTGACAGGGAGGAGGACTGTTAGTAAACAAAAAAGTCGTCCTCCCCGTCGGTGATTGTTGGAAATCACCAGGGGCCGGCGGGTAATTACCGGCCAGGACCCGATGTTGGATAGCAGTGGCTGCAAATGGTGGCACAGATAAGGCGCGTGCGTGGCCCGCACTTGCCCCCTACCTGGAAATGCAAAATCACGTGTATATAAGTGATTTTGCGCACCTGTGCCACCCTGTAGCAGTATTTCTGCTATAGGGTGGACGGGAGGCAGTTAAAGCAATCCACTGAGCTGGCCAGACCCAGCTCTTGAGGGAGTCTATTTCACATTTTCACAGCTCTCACTGTGAAGAAGTCTTTCCATATGTGAAAGTTAAATTTCTTCTCCTCCAGATGTAAGTAAAGAGTGCCCCCTTGTCCTCTGTAATGACCTGAAAGTGAAACACTGAGTTTACTAAATGGACCATTAATGTATGAAACTGCCATTCCCAGTAGGCTGGAAAAAAACAAAAATAGTAGCAGAGTCACACTGAAGACTGCATTGATTTGAAGTGAATGTTTAGGGGTACATGTTGTCTTTATTATGCTCAGATATACTTTATTAGTCTTGTAAAAGTCTCATTGACTAGTAATCAATTCAGTTTGCTCTAATCTGCATATGGATAGCATGCCCTATCCCATTGTCATCATTTATTATTTAACCAGTTGCATACATTGGACATGCTACATACACCCAAAATAATTCAGTGAAGTACACAGGGCATACGTAGCATGCCCTTTTCCTCTCCCTCTCTCTAGGACTTGCTAAGTAATACAGCAGAAGCTGTAGTAACTGCAGAACTGTGGTCAAAAACAGACCTCCGGAACAGTGTTTGTAAACACTTTTCAGAAGAATGATTCAGAAACACAAAGTCATGTTATTGTTGCTTTGATTTTACTCTGTTTTTATTCACATGAATATCAAAGGGATGACTTGATCTGCATTTGATGTTAGTTAAAGCAACCTTTCAAGTAAAAAAAAAAGATACGTTTCTATTTTTTTTTTTATTTCTATTTTTTTAACCATTAAAGTATAACTAAAGGCAAAACTTATATTTTGTTTTGGATAGAGAGCATAGGAATCAGAGTGCTTGTCAGGCTTTATTGGGGTCTGTGCTCCCGTTAAGGAGATTCACCCTCTCTATTTGTCTGGTTTACCATTAACCACTTCCCGTCCGGCCCATGTACATAAACAGCCGGACGGAAGCAGCGCAGGAGCAGGTGGTTGTATATAGACGTCCTTCCGCTTCCCTGCCTGTGCGCGCTCCCTGGGAGCCAGTGTCTGGAGGACACAGCGGAACACCGATCGGTGTACGGGACCTCTGTGTGAGGTCCCGATCATGTGATCACTGATTGGCCAATCAGTGATCACATGAATAGTAGTAAGATGTCACTTCTGACATCATTGCTTACTACATGTGAAATCTGTGAATGATCGCAGAGGTCACATGGCACAAGGCTATTCACAACAGCCTTGTACCATGTGACAAGCTGTGACCAATCACAGCTCTCACAGTATTTCTCAATGGCTGCAAGAATGCAGGCAGAGAGAAGGAGAAATGATTGCTTTTACAGCCTTTATGGGTATAAAAGCAATCAGTGTAAAAAAAATAAATAAATCTTCATCACCCCCCACAAATATGGCAGTGTCACTATGGTGACACTGTACTGCTAGGGTGACAGTATATTAAAAAAAGAAAAAAACCTAAATAATATAAAAAAAAAAATTTAAAAACATGTTTTAAAAATTATAATTTATGGTTATAAACTAATTTGGGTTTTTTTTTTTTTAAAAGATAGCTGAATACATTTTGGCCAAGATTTATGAAGAAAGATTATTTATTTGCAAAATTTTATAAGAAAAATACTTTTTTTTTCAAAATGTTTGGGATTTTTATTTTTTTGCTATATAAATGAAAAAGTCCAGTGGTGAATAAATACCACCAAAATAAAGTTTTATCTGTCTTAAAAAATGCTAAAAAATTCATATGGGTACAGTGTTGCATGACCGCGCAATTGTCATTCAAAGTTTGATAGCGCTGAAAGCTGAAAAATGGCCTGGACTGGAAGGGGTTGAAAGTGCCTGGACTTGAAGTGGTTAACAAGTGAAAGTAAAAGAAAATCCCAAAGTTTGGATTGTCCCCAGGAAAGTAATAGAGGGGAAATCTTCCAGTGGGGACACTAGTCCTGGTGACTTGGGGGTCCCCAAGAAATTCCCTTAATATGGAGGGATTTCATCTTGCTTGTTTGGCTATGGGACAAGAAATGAAGGGAAATCTCCCCAGTGGGGCCGAGATGGCAAAAAAGAAAAAAAAATCTGACAGGGGTTATAACCCTCCATTACTCTATCCAAAATGAAAAAAGCGTTGCATATAGTTCTACTTTAATACTTACACATTTAACATTTTTGTCATTTTGTTTGTTAATTTGTTTTGTGTTGAATCAAAATATGTGCAAAATTAACTAAAATACCTTTATTTCATTTGTAAATAATTTTGCAATGTTTTATACCAGAATATTAAATTTAGTGTCATTATAAATAGGACAAATTATATAATAACATTTATACTTTTCATCTATGAGAACGCTATATTTTTTTTAAACTAACATTTTTTAGCTTTGTTACATGTTTTGTCCATAGATTGTGATTGATAGATTTGCAATATAATATCACCAAAACAACGCCTTGTTTATCACACAAAAAAATATGTATTACTTTGATATCTTACAGTGTTACTAAACCCACAACAGTAAAATCAGTCTGTATATTTCATTAATTTCAGGTATTTATATAGTGCAATCAATTTTATGCAGCACTTTACATATATATTGTACATTCACATCAGTCCCTAACCCTCAAGGGGCGTACAATCTAAGGTCCCTAACTCACATTCATACATACATATACTAGGGCCAATTTAGACAGGATCCAATCACCTACCAGCATGTCTTTGGAGTGTGGGAGGAAATCGGAGTACCCAAAGGAAATCCACACAGGCAGAACATGCAAACTCCAGGCAGGTGATGATGTGGCTGGGATTCAAACCAACAACTCTAGTACTGCCAGGCAGAAGTGCTAACCATTTAGCCACTGTCCTGTCTATATATATATATATATATATATATAATATATATATATATATAACAGTAAAGCATGCTTGTTATACTCACTGTCGAACCTAAAGGGTTAATCCTCTGCATTGTATAAAAAGGCTGTTTGATCCTGTCTTCTCTGCCTCTCCTCTTGTTGTAATGTCCACCTGATACAGACTGAATCTGTAGTCACATGCTCAGTTTGGTGTGTATTGCTAGAGAGGTGTTTTTTTTTCCTTGGGAGAGTGCACATGATCAGCACAGGGCCAATCAGCACTGTCCAGACAGAGTTCAGGGGTTTCACATCCTTCTAGAGCAAAAAAAAAAAAATTCCTCCTACATGCTTTAACCAGTGCACTGCTAAAGTCACAAACCTGCTCTAACTGCTGATGAGAAAGGTATTTAGCAGTTTACATTTACTAAAATAATTGCATTTCCATGTTGTGTGTACTGTGGGAGACCAGATATAGTGAATGCAGGGTCCGGGAGACCATATACAGTGAATGCAGGGGACCGGGGAGACCAGATATAGTATAGTGAATGCAGGGTCTGGGGAGACCGGATATAGTGAATGCAGGGTCTGGGAGACCGGATATGGTGAATGCCGGGTCCGGGGAGAGACCAGATATAGTGAATGCCGGGTCCGGGGAGACCAGATATAGTGAATGCCGGGTCCGGGGAGACCAGATATAGTGAATGCCGGGTCCGGGGAGACCAGATATAGGGGAGACCAGATGAATGCCGGGTCCGGGGAGACCAGATATAGTGAATGCCGGGTCCGGGGAGACCAGATATAGTGAATGCAGGGTCCGGGGAGACCAGATATAGTGAATGCAGGGTTCGGGATTTAGTAACACTTTAAAATGACAGTAAAAGCTTTGTTTTGTTTTTTAAATAACAAACACGTCTATACTTGCCTGCTCTGTGCAGTGATTTTGCACAGAGCAGTCCCAATCCACTTCTTTTTGGGTCCCCATCCTGGCTCCTCCCCCCCCTCAAGCAGTGCCCCCATGGGAAAGCCGCTGGCCCTGGGGGCACCACTGTGTGCTCGTCCCTGAGCCGCTGCTCTATGCGTCCATAAAACACATAGAGCCACGGCTCGGCCCCACCCCCCACTCTCTCCTCATTAGCTTACTGGCTGTGATTGACAGCAGTGGGAGCCAATGAGCTCCCACTTTTGTCTTGGCCAATGAAGAGGAAGAGTCCACAGACAACAGAGGTCAAGAACGTCACAGGAAAGGATTGGGGGAGGGGGGGGTCCACAGAAGGGTTTTTTTTACCTTCATGCATAGAATGCATGAAAGTAAAAACCTTGAGCCTTTTGAACCACTTTAGGTAATGAAGAAGCCAAATAATCAGGTCTATAGCAGAAATGTAAAAATTGCTCAGGTCCATAATGGGGACTAAAGTGGTTGAAAATCTTAGAAAGCCTCCGAATGATTTTTGTTTTTTCCAAAAACTCAAACTTCTTACTTTCTCTATTGCTTTCATCTATGTTCCTTAAGCCTCGTACACACAGGCCGAATATTGATTAGTATCGATTGGTTCAATAGAAACTATCCATCATTCGGCCCGTGTGTACACTCGTTCTGTCCAAGAGAAACCAGGCAAACAGGCATTGGCATCCGATTAGTGATGGCAGTCAATGGCTCCAATTGCTGTCTGGTGTGTTCTGGAGATTGCTGTACTATCATCAGATGGTCAGTACAGTGAGCTCCTCCCGAGGAAGTCCCACCTTACTATTATCCCTTTCTCTTGCCCTATAGATTGTTTACTATTTAACTTAGGAGCAATAGATTCTCCTGTGAACATTATAGGAATGTCCTCCTGCGCTCCACAGAGTAACTAAACAAGGCCAGCAGCTAACATCTATACCCTATACCTCGGGATGAAAAAGATATCTAATAGTGGATGAAGCGTTCAGCCATGAGGGTAATAAAACTAATGAAACTAAATATAAACAAATAAATAAAAAAATGTTATATACATATATAATAAAGTGACTAGTGCTCCAAATAAATGTACAAACAAAAATAATAAAAATATATAAAAAATTCCAATACATAAA